AGAACTGTTTTTCTCTCTCTTGGTTGCTCTGAGGACAGCCTAGGACAAGATGGTGGAGTTAATCTCAAAATGGAGTTACTTTGGCTCTTCAAAAGGAAGAAAAGGTGAAGAAGGAAGAACAGAAGGAAGGAAGGAGAGACACAATAAGCCAGAAAGGTGGGAAAAAACAAAATGAAAGAAGAAATGATAAAGAATGAGAGAGAGAAGAAAGAAGTTAGGAAGAAGAGGGGGAACACAGAGGAAAAAAGAAGGAAAGGAAGGAAGGAGGGAGGGAGAGAAGGAGAAAGGATGAAGACAATAAAAAGAACAAAGAAAGAAGGAGAAATAGAAGAAAGAAACATGGATAAGGAGAATAGAAACAAAGGGAGAAATAAAAAAGAGGAGACAAGGAAGAAGAAAGAGAAGAAAGCAAAAGAAGAAATAAAAGAAGGGATGAAGATGAAAGGAGGAAACCAAGAGAAGGAGAAGAAGGATGGGAGGAAGAAAGAAGACAAGTAAAAGGAAAGTGGAAAGGAAGAAAATACAAGAAAAAAAGTAAGAGGAAAGACAGTGGAGGAAGACAAAAGAAGGAAATATAGAAGGAAAGAAAATAGAAATAGAAAGGAACAGAAAAGAGAGAAAGAAGAGAAGAAGGAAAGGAAGGAAAAGAGGAAGGAGACAGCAAGAAAGAAAGAAAGAAAGAAAGAAAGAAAGAAAGAAAGAGAGAAAGAAAGAGGAAGGAAATAAGGAAGAAGACAAGGAAGAAAGAAAGAATTGAAGGCATGTAGAAAAATAAGGAAGTAGAGAAAGTGAAATAAAATGAAAGAAGGAAAGGAAGGGAAGGAATAAGAGAAAGGAAAAAAGGAAGTAAGGAGAACTGGAGGAAGCATAGAGATAATAATAAAAAATAAATCATGAAATGGGGGGACAAAAGAAAAGAAAAAAGAAGAATAAAAAATTTAAAAGAGGAAGAAAGGGGAGAAGGAAGTAGGGAAGAAAGAAAGAAAGAAAATGACAAAAACCAGAAAGGCAGAAAGAAAAGAAGGTAAAGAATAAAAAAGAAAGGAAGGGAAGGAAAGTAAGGAATGAAAGGAAAAGAATAAAGAAATGAAGAAAGAAAAATGGAGAACTAAGGAAGGATATAAGAAAAGGACAGTGAAAAATAAAGGAAAGAAGGAAGGAAAAAGAAAAAAGGAAGGTCAAAGGAAGAAATGAGAGAAATGAGGATATAGAAAAAGGGAGGAAGACATGGACAGATGCAAGAAAAGGAAATGAGAAAGTCAGAAAGCAAGAAAGAATGAAAAGAAGGAAAGAGAAAAAGAAGGATGGAAGGAAAGAAAAGAGCGAAGAAGAGAGAAAGAAAGAAAAACAGAGAAAGAAGGAAAGAATGCTGACAGAAAAAATGTTTATAGGTCTCAAAAATAATAAATTGCTTAGAATATTATTTAATAAGAGATAAACCACTTGTACACTGAAAATGTCAAAACGTTCCTGAAAGATGAAACAAATAAATGGAAAGGCATTGGGGTGGATGATTTAACAGTTAACATGTCAGTCATATCCAAAGTGATCTTTAGAGTTTATGTGATCCTATGAAAGTTCGAGGGAAGTTCTTGTCCAAATAGTAAAGTCCGTTTTCAATTAATTACTAAGATTGTTTTATAATGTCTAGAGGCTAGATAGCCAAAAACTATTCTGAGAATAACAACAAAGTCAGAGAACTTACATTTCCTTATTTCAAAACTTCAAAGTTTACTTCAAATCTATGGTCATCAAATAATGTAGTACTAACATAAAGAAAGGCCAGTAGAGTGGAAACAGAAAGAACAGAATGAACTCTTACATATATGCTTCAATCAAATCTCAAGGAGATTGCCAATCAATAAGAGAGTCTTTTTAGGAATAGTGCTGGAAAAACTAGGTATCTGTGTGGAATTAGACCCTTACCTCAGACTGTGTATGAAAATTAACATGTTTCCACCTAACATAATTGCAAAAGTATAACACTCTTTGAAGAAAAGCTATAGGAAAATATTTATGACCTTGAATTTGCCAATGATTTCTAGGATATAACACTAAAAGAAAGTCAGTCTTCATTAATAATTTAAAACAGTATATTAAATGACCATATCCAGAGGGAAAAGAGAACCTATATTCATGAAGAAAGTATCTTCAAATTATGTATCTGAGAGTGATTGATATCTTTAATATGTAAACAAACCCTACAACTCACTAACAAATGTCTCCAATGACTTTAGTATTTGTACTTCCATGTTCACAGCTGATTACTTACAATAGCTAATATGCACATAACTCGTGTCAATAGATGAATGAGTGGATAAGCAAAATATGACATGAAGATATACACATTATTCATCCTTAAAAACACAGGAAATTCTGGCAAATGCTGCAACATGGAGCTATGGATTAAGCTTGAACATATCATGCTTAATTGTATTAGCCTTCTGAATAGGACAAATATATTTTAAAGTTGTACTTATATGAGGTACCAATTGTAGTGAAACTGATAAAGTAAAATTAAGGTTGAGAGAGAGAGAGAGAGACATAAGTTCTATTATTATAAAGATTACTGTGCTTCCCTCAACTTTAGTAAAATGAGAAAATTTAGATATCAAGCCAGCCCCTAATATAGCAGTAAAATTATCATCCCCTAGGTATTAAACATTGAAATCTGTCAAGATGTTATTCTAATTTATCTTCTGTTTGTACATCCTACACTAATGTGAAAGAACTTCTTAGCTACAGTTTGGGATAGCATTCACAGGCAGAGAACTAATAAATTTATATGTTCAACTATCTCCCTATGATCAATTATTTCATGTTTGAAAGTCAATATGTTCAAGACCAAATTCATAATTAGCCAATTGAATGAACTATAAAGCCAGAGCTCCACTCTCTTTTGCATCCTATCCCTTACCATAAGATTTTGTGCCACTATGTTCATTGGCTCTCATTTACCTCCACAGTTTTACATTCATCTCTTGTGTGCATTTGACTAACATTTGTCTCTCAGAATACAGTACTCATTCCCTGTGGACTTTATTTTTGCACATAATCATATTCTCAGAATATAGTACAATGCCCAGTGTGTAAGTACTGGTTATTTGTTGGATGCGAAAAACATTGAATTCATTGTTAGGCAATAGTATAATAAGAAAATATTAAAATCTGTCCCCTATATGACCCAGCAATCCCACTTCTGGGCATTTACCCAAAGGATCACAAACATGGCTATACTAAAGCTAGCAGCACAACTATGTTTATTGCAGCATTATTTACTGTAGCTAAGATACAGAACCAACCCAAATGCCCCTCAGTAGATGAGTGGATCAAGAAAGTAGTAAATATATACAATGGAATTCTATGCTTCCATTAGAAAGAATAACACCACCCAATTTGTTAGGAAATGGAAAGACTTGGAAAAAATCTTATTAAGTGAAGTTGCCCAGTCCCAAAGAAATTTAGGTCTCATGGTTTCCCTTATTTGCAGTAATTAATCTCCATATAGGATACTCTTATCTGATGAGCTGAAAAGCTCAAAAACCATGTACAAATGACCATATAAATTGATGCTAAGTGAAATGAATCCCAAGCTTTGGACACAAGAGGTCTGTCTTTATTGTTACTGTTTTAAGTGTACCATGTGATTTTATTCTTTTTTGTTGTTGTTTCCTTTGTATGTTCTTTCCCCTGTGGTACTCGATTTTGATATCCTGCATCTTGTATATACATATGTCTAATCTGGGAAGAGGAAGAGGAATAACAAAATGCTGAAATAAGGACACAGGATGACCCATTGCAACGAAGATACCTACTGGACAGTGTATTGGAAATGAACTTTACAACTTCAGGTGGCAAGTGGGGAGGGAATAGTAGTGTGGGAGATGGGGGAGGGAAGGGATAGTGGGACAACAATAAGGAAGGGAAAGGGTAAGAGTGATCAACAAGTAATGTACTCATTGCTTTACTCAAGTAACTGTAACCCCTCTGTACAATATCTTAACAATAAAATAAAAAATTTTAAATAAAATAAAATCTAACTGTTCCTATAGATATGAATGTGAGAGTTGTTCCTCAGAGACAGTGGTTATAGTTTGAAATTCACTTTGAGTTACTTGACCATTTCTAACTTGTCCAGTGCAACGATTCCCATATTTCTTCCCTGGCTTTAATGTTAGTCCAAACACACTTCAGTTTCTTAGTTGGAAAATATTTAATATTTAATGCTCACAAGGCAGATGATGGAGTGGGTATGGATGAGAGATTGAGACAGTTTTATCTTAGGGTTCAAATTCTATGCCTTTAACCTCTGATTTTCATACTAGTTTGAGTTTAACTCCTGAATGTGTTTCTACATAACAAAAAATATGGATATTATTAAAAATATCAATTGTACAAGTTTGTGATAAGGATTATGAGGAAAGTTTGCAATATTACTTTTTAGAATGTAAAATTTCACAAATGTACATGATTAATCCTCAAATAGCAGTGGAACTGTGGTGGAAGTACTCTTTCTAGCAATATTTTATATGTTGTGGCTACTACGTTGTATATTCTGTTTCTATTTTATATGTATCAAACATCGTTAAAGAGAAAGTGAGGAACAAGTTTGTAATCATGTATTTACAAGTCAATCCATTTAGAGTCTGTAATTCTAACATTTTAGCATCTTAAAAGTTCCAAATCTTATTCTCTATCCTAACGACCTAACATCACTACCAAGCTGGTGGTTACCAAGTGCTACTAGGCTTCTTGCAAGCCAGGTTTTACATCATCTGATTGTGACATAGAATCCTCAGATGCATCACCAATTATGACGTCTCACACCCTCTCCTGAAGCCGTGGCTACTGCACATATCTCAGCTATACTAGGTGGTGAGAGACCGGTAGCGCACGCACTGGCCCTGGGCTCCCCAAGACAGGGCGAGTAATCGCCCCTGCGTTCCAAGTGCCAGTAGGGGTGCCTCTATCTCAAGAAAAGAAGAGGCCTAACCCGAAACATGAGCATCTTTTTTCTCCTAATGACCTGCGTTGTGTTTACCCTGATGTATATCTTCTGGAAAAAGCGGTTCCAGGTAAAGGATATGAGAGGGGGAATGCGTGTGTTTGAAATATGTGGGTTGGGGAGTAAGGCAGAAAGTAAGGTAGAAAGACAGTAAAATAAGAACTGGTCTCCTGTAATGGTGTTTGCATGCATGTGATGGAAATTAGAAGAAACTAGACGAATATGTAGATTGGGAAGTAAGACAATAAAAGGAAAATAGAATTAACTTTTCAGGGACATACATGGGTATTTCCTGTGTGTGCACACAAAGATAAACACACACACACATGTTCATATATCCATTATTGGAATTAGATAAAGAAATGAAGCTAGATGTGTAAATAGATGGGGGTGGGGTTAGAAAAGAATAAATGGTAAAACAAGAATTAAAGGGAGATAACCTCATTCTTCTCACTCTAAAAAGAGCCAATCTGTATTTCCCCCTTTTCCACAAACCCTGGGTTTTGACCAGTGATTGGGCAGTTGTGGTCAGTTGTAAAATAATCCTGAGTTAATCAAGAGAAATTGTAAACTTTTCATACACCTGGAGAAAAAAGGATTGATTCACCACATCTCATGTTAAGAAGCTTTTCTTCTCTCACTTTTACTTCTCCAAGTTCTTGTTGGCTTCTACCATTTTGTCACCATCATTGTGGAGACTTTCCAGACATCCAAAATACCACTCATGTCTAAATGTGCATATCCCAATATTTAAATTTGCAAAAGGGTCAAAGATAGGGCCCATGTGTTGACTACTTCTCAAGAAATGTAAGAAAAATATGGCATTTGGTCTTATTAGGGTACTTTCATATTTTTTTCCTTAATCTGGGCAAAACATACTTTCAAATCAATGTTATTTCACCCGTTTCCAATCTCTAGCTTTTAAATGAGATAGCTCATTTTTTGGTAAACTCAATAAACTATATGTGTATAATTTCCTCTACAGGGAAACACTGGTGAAATGGCAACTGATTTGGAATTCCCCAAATCACCTACATCATCACCTGAAAGCAGTACTGATACTCTGTCAGTCAACAGCCTCTCCCGGGATATCTTCAACAGTTTCCCACATTCAGTGGCTATACAGAAGCGTATACTGACAAACCTCAGGATGGTGGAATACAAACTAAATGAACTGGAACATTTCCTAAATGTCAAGGGTACAAATGGTACATTGACTCATCGGAAATGTTCAAAGATTTCCAATTGTAAGCAGAATAAAAACAATCATTAAATGCACTTTTGATTTTACATGCCTATGTGTTTATTCCAAATGAATTATTTAAAATGGAGAAGATGTAAAGTTAGATACCGTTTTAAATATTTATGGGCTTGTTTATTTTAATGAATTGATTACAAATACTTGGTAATATATATTTTAATGGTGAAGAAAAACAGTTTAAAAGGAAGCGTTTTCTTTTTTCTTGCACGCTGCAGTAAAAGTGATTATAATTTCTTTGAAATTTGATAAAACAGATTTCTTTAATTGTGTACAGTATAAAATACCAGTCATTTTCAAGTTTGTATTAAGTTAGGTAAAGTTATTTGAAACGTCACAGAATATTGTTCCTTGCTATTGCTGAACCTGTGTAATGGGAATAGAGCTTACTAGACACCCTACAATATATCACACACTCTAACATATGCTGTTCACAATTTGAAGATAGTGACAATCCTTAACTATTCTTTGTGCTAAGCATTGGATATTATTTCCTCTTTTTATCCCTTTATCCCACTTTACTCAATCAGCTATTCTTTCATTAAACACATACCCAAATCTTGGAATTGTAAGAGTCACAATAAGGAAAAACATGTTTTTTTTTTTAAATTGGAGAAAATCTGACATTTAAAATAGCACCAAAATACAGTGATAGAATGAGTCTAACGTGTTTGAGTAAAATTAAAGTACTTGTGTGTCTGAACTGGGGCTTGAACTCAGGGCTTCACACTCTCCCTTGACTTTTTAGCTCAGGACTGGCATTCTACCACTTGAGCCACATCTCCACTTGGATTAAAATTTAAAAAAAAATTTCTACACTGTACTCAGTCATAGAGGTCAATCAATAGTTTATAAAATCCAGTATGTATATGGAATTATTCTCTTGAAGTTCACTAATAGTACTTGAAAACACTAAAACTATTAAATGAATTCCTAATATCTGTATATACATAGCATCTGAGGTTGATCAAGAATACTTATTTATCATTCTTGACACCCTTGCCCCTGAAAATAAATTACAACCATAAATTAAAGAAATACCTTAATTCCTTGCTCTAATATTCATTTACAAATAAGAAGAAATGGAATTGAAAGTGTTGCTGAAAAATATTCTTGCTATTGTTGTCACCTCTATTACCAAGTACCAAAAGCTAAAGGTAGTTTATGTGATTGATTCTTATACTTTTTGAATCACAGATTCTTTTGATATTTTGATGAAAACAATGGACTCTCCCTAAAAAATAATAAAAGGATATTCACCTGCACACAGGAAATATCACATATAATTATTCCAGAAGCCTTGCTGAAGAACCTGAAGAGTTGCTGAAATGTTCCTTATATATTTAGGTAATGTTTACTATCCCAAGCTGTGCTCTTTAAACCAATTTTCTATGACACATAATCAAGAAAATAAAACATAAAATTTTCATTCTTGACAAGTTTGACAACCTTACTTTCTATTAGTATGCAAATCACTGCCATTCATATGCAATAACTTATTCACATGAGACAAAATCATTCTCCTTGATCTCTTAGGCATATATCACTATCATAAAATGCTAGATTTGATTAAAGTCATTTTATAATTAACATTTGAATCCACATCCTATGTGCAATTAAACCTTATACTCTGAGAATACTCCTGAGAACTATTCATAATTTTCGTGAAACACAATAGAAATTATGAGCTATACTTTACTCCCAAATACAACCAAAGGATGAAAGGTAGTATGCAAAAAAAAAAGTATTCAAACTTTGGTATTACATTTTCTAGGTTTAGCCCTTAGTAATCATAGGATAGTTACTTTTCTGTCTTATTTCACTATTTGTAAATTTAAAACATGGTGAGCAAGTTCACATAAAAAGATGAGTCCTAATAAATTCACAAAGTTTTAAATATTTTTGCATTAAAACATTAGACTACAGTCTTCATACAGTATATTTCCACATATATTTCTAATTAAGTGAGGTCTTTAGTTTGAAACATTTTCTTTTTTACTGACTGATTTCCATCCCCATCTGATGAAAAGGTAAGTTTGTATATTAAGAAAGCAGAAGCAAGTACTATCCTTACATTTACAAAAATAGAAAATAATAGAACTTCTGTCAAATTGGTACAAAGTAAAGCTTTCAATGTATTACAAAAACATGGTGGTACTATTTACAAAATGTCATTGTAAAACAGTCTAGTAGGTATGTATTACACAAATAGGTAATCTTAAAACAAATATAAGCATATTGCTAAGCATTAATAGATTCACATTTTATATTACAGTCTTGTGTGAGAAAAATACACATCACTCTATTGTGAACATAGCACATATTTTTCTACTCAATTAACATACAAATAAATAAAAATTTCCCTCCTCTAAAAAATCACATTATGCAACAATCATGTTTTAAAATGAGATCTCATTCTGGTTTTCTACTGCCACTAATAGTTGGTATTTCATGGTCAGTCTCTTTCTCAGTCTGTGCCATGTCTTTATATCTCTCTCCACGATGTTTTTCCAGGTATGGACCCCAGTTAGAAGCTGGTCTGCAGCAGCTTACAATACGCTGAAATTTAATAAAATTTTGAATGTAATTACTATCATCTGTATACAAATATTAAACTGAACTACTTTATGTTAAATAAGTTCATTGTTACCAAAAATGAAATAGCAAGTCATAGAAAAGTAAAAAGTGAATCTTTATAATATACAATTTGCTAAGAAATTATAATCAAATAAATTATTGTTAAGACTTATGTATATAAATTATGTAAAGTATGTAAATGATGTCAGGTAGAATGTGAGCCTTTAGAATAACTGTGTCATTACAGATATATTTGCTGAATTCTTTTTTATTTTCATAAATCTTTGATTATATCTTTTCTGTAGTGTTCATCCTGGGGTTTGAACTCAGAGCCTTGGCCTGGTAGTCAAGTACTTGCCTACTTGAGAAATGACTCTACCCTACATTTACTGAATTATCATGCATTATCCATCCTGGCCTTAGATTGTGGATGAGGTGAACATCTAAGCTACTGTATACTATAATGTTCCAACAACAAGGAAAAGAAAGCTCCAAAGTCAACCCACTGATTGGATGACCTTGAGAATGTAAATCTAAGATGCCTGAGTTCACCTTGTCATTGTTCTAGTAAAAAAAAGTAGTAACTCTATTTCCTAGACCTCTATGAAAGCATGTTTCAAGTTCTCCACAGGGTAGAAGAAGTTTTACTATGCTTAAACAGTATAAGCATACACATAATTCTTGTAACTGGATAGAACCTTAACAATTGAGACTAGAAAAGGCTAAATAAGTAATTAAATAATTTGCTTTGTGAGATAATCTTCCAGTATAACTCTGGACAAGTACAGAGATCATAAATGTTAAAGTTGAGCACTATAATAGAGTCTGAGCATTCAGCAACAAAAATTAGACTCCCACCAGGAGGCTATAGTCTAATACAGGGAAACACACAAATATATAGAGAATATGATTCTATGGACCAGAAACATGATTGTTTCAGAGACAGAAGTCGAACAAATGATTCATTTGATATCATAAAAGTCTTATATTACTGGCATGTAACTAAATTTTTCTTCTTTTTTCTCTTCATTTATACTTTACATAAAGTATAAAAACCCAATGTGCTTACTTGAAGGATGTTTCCTTTAGCTTGAACTAGTTTGACAATAGCCACAATTGGAATCCAAATAATGCAGAAAATAATCATGCACCAGCCTAGAGCAACTCCCCAATCAGGGTAAGGAATTTGAGCATATTCAGGTCTATGAAATGTCACCAGTGACCATATAAAAATTGCCTGTAAAAGTACAATATGGAAAGATAAAATTAAAGATTAGACTTTATGGTAAAAATGATTAGTGTTTTGATTCCATTACTTACTTATCAAAAATAATGAAAATAAAACTATAATTAAGGAACTAATACTCCAGTATATAAAATGAACCAAAATTCTTCCATAATTAATACTTCCATATATTTACCAATGATATGAATACTTGTTCAGCAAATATTGCAATAAAATGTTTTATTATCTGTTATACTCAAAGTAAAATAAATAAATTAATTACTGAAATTTTTAAAGTTTAAATTTATTTTAATTTTAATTGAAATATAGCATGACACATACCATGTTATGTTTTGATACATATATAGGTTAAACATTTATTTCCTCCAACATCATTTTATGGTGAAGAGTTTCAAAATCCTTTCTTCTTTTTCAAATGTACAGACATTATTTTATCTATTATATCTAACATAATTTATTGTGTAGTAACACATCAAACTTATTACTTGAACCTTACTATAACTAAGTACCTATTTATCAGTATGTCTTTGATCCCCAACACATATCCACATACTTCTAGCATTTGGTAACTACCATTTTACTCTCAATTTTTACAACATCAACTTATTTAGATTGCTCATCTGAGTAAAATCATATGGTGCTTGTCTATCTGCACCAGAGTTAGTTCATTTAACCTGATCTCTAGTTCTCTCTATGTAGTCAAAAATGACAAAATATCATTATTCTTTAGGCTTAAGTAATATCCACGGTATGTATCACATTTTCTTTATCCATTCATCAGTTGGTGGACATTTAGGTTATTTCCATTTCTCAACTATTCTGAATAGTGCTGCAATGACCATGGCAGTGTAGATGTTTCTTGAGCATACCAATTTCTTTTTGTTTGGATGTGTACCCAAAAATGGGATTGTTGTTGAGGATGTGGAGATAGGAAATCTTTACACATTTAGTCAAATTGTACATCAGTGTAAGTATTATGGAAAAGTGTGGAAGTGACTCACAACTTAAAAATAAAACTACCATATCATCCAGAAGTGCCAGTGCTAAGTATATACCCAAAGAAAATCAAGTTATAGTAACATAGTTTGAGTTTGTCCTATCAGCTAGCCTGCATATATATTAATTCAATCACTGTGTAAAAGTACATTCTAGGCATACTTCTCTCCTTGATAAGCAATTGTTTCTGTTATTCTCCACTACACAGACTACCCTTTTATGCCTATCAAAACACATGTGAATTTAAATACACTCTACTGGAACATTTTTGCTAAAGTATATATCACTTGGAGACATTTACTGAAACAAAAAAGTTCAGCACAAAATCAGGGACTCTGGTAAAAATATGAACCCTAAAAGATAAAAATAATTCTTTTTTTAAACCAGTATAGTGCTTAACCTCAGAGCCTCAAGTGTTTGCTCAACTTGCCTGCACCTCTTTCTTGATCGTAACATGATCTACCACTTAAGCCACATTTCCACTTTCAGCTTTTTGATGGTTCATTGGAGATGAGTTCCATGCACTTCTGTGTCTGTACTGATTTTGAACTGTGATCCTTAAATCTCACTTTCCTGAACAACTAAAAATACAAGTGTGAGTGACTAGCACCTGGCTAGAGAATACAACTATTTTTTTGTCAGTTGTGGAATTTGAATTCAGGACCTGGATGCTGTCTCTGAGTTCTTTTGCCCAAGACAAGGTCTCTACCACTTTTATCCACAGCTCCATTTCTGGTTGTAGAGTGGTTAACTGGAAATAAGAATCTCACATGGAATTTTCTGCCCAGGCTGGCTTTGAATCAGGGTCTTCAGATCTCATCCTCTTGAGTAGCTAAGGTTACAGGCGTGAGCCACCAGTGCCCGGCCATGCAAATACTTTAATTCATCATATCGAGTCTCAAACTGCTCACTACTTGAAAGTGATAACACGATGTTAAAAATAAAACCTAACACCTTATAAAAGCAATCAAATATGGTACTTCAGATATAACACAAATCCTGAATCAAATTGCTTGATGTCTAATGAGAACTAAAACATAACTCCAACGTCTTTAGCACTGCTCCACTCCCATCATTAACTCAAGACTATAGAAGTTCTCCAGCTCATGAAATTAAAATTTCAGCACTCAGCTTTTTGCTTTCCTGGACTGTTATTTGACATTTTTAATGTTTTATGTATCACATCTCCTCAATCAGACATCATTTGTTTTCCTTCAGTTCTTAAATATTACCAATTGTTGGATTTATCAGCATAAACCACTGCCTGCAGAAGTGTTGATGCACTGATGTCCTTAAAGTTTACCTGGCCTTTATTGTTTATTTCTTCTCTACCTGGCAAAATTGTTAAGAACATTATTGACATATCAGCATCTCTCTGAGAAAATGAGAAAAATCATACATTTTGTGTGTGTGCCAGTCCTGTGGCTTGAACTGAAGGCCTGGGTGCCATCCTGAGATTCTTGTTTTCTCTCAAGGCTAATGCTCAACTTTCACTAATGAAGCCACAGCAACATTACTGGCCTTTTTTGATGGTTAAATTGAAGATAAGACTGTCAGGGATTTTGTTGCCCTATTAGCTTCATATCATGATCCTGAGCTCTCAGCATCCTGAATAGGTAGGGTTACAAGCATTTATTCTAATGATGTGTTTATGCTATTAATAGTATTAATAGTTTTGAGTTATTGATACCTTTTCAGTCAATAGGAAGCTCTTATTTTATCAAACAGTAGAGGTTTAAGCCCATGGGCTCAAAAATCATCACTAAATGGCATTGTAATTTAGGCAGTTGCAGGCATCACTCAGGAACAACATAAAACCCAAAAATCATTCATTTACAAGTTATTTTCATTGTCTTTAATGTATATTATTCCCCAAGTTTCTGAGAAACAAAAGTATGGTTTTTAAAATATCAAGCTCATGCTATATGAGTACTCACCGTCAACAGGATCGGCGTAATGACAAACCAGCAAGCTCTCCACCATAGCCAGAATATCCACCTCTTTGCTCCAAGCATCATTTCTATATCTTCAATGAATCTGTTCCCTCCTGAAGAAAACAATGTCAGAGTATATTGAGCCCTTACTCATTTCCTCAAATCATGTCACCTAAATTATCCTTCTATTATCTACAATTTTACTATATCACAGCAACAAATTCTATACTTTCAACTACATTTATAATACATTTTGATCAATACATCATGCTTTACTACTAGTAATTATTAATAATATAATTACATAAACCTAATGAAAATGAAAAATGAACTTTTAATAAAAGTCATAAATCATTTTAGAGTCAGTAGTTACCATAAATCCAGATGATTCCTATTATTTCCAGTATAGCTGCAATCAAAATGCCCCATCCAGCACAGAAGTGGTCAATTAGATGAACCCAGTAAATTCCAGCCTACCAAAAAACACCAATTACTTTCAGGTATATTTGAATTATTTTTACACTTGACATTTGAATTATTTTTACACTTGATGAAGTGTTCAAATAGAATCTATAATTTGTACTTAATACTAATTACATGAGAACAAATCTTCCTTTCAAAAATACACAAATGTGTGTTTAACTAGTTCAAAAACCTTTCTACTTTTTTAAATTGGGAAAACATGAATATGTGGAATAGCTGATTTTCATTCTGTCTTTACATGCTCCAGACAGCCACCCAGAAATGAACATTGCATGCTTAAAGTCTCATTAATTTGTAAAATTATCATGATTAGCCTCTTCTTCTGCAAATATATACTCCCTAGTCAAGTTACAATAGAGGGAAATGGGCTAAAACTGGAAACATGCACACACTTGTCACTAAGCATCTCTAAGCCTCGGTATGTTTTATTTAGAATCCCAAGTTGCAACTAATATTTTGTCTATGAGAAGAGAAAAACTGTACTTTACCTGAGTCACACAGACAAGACCCAGGAGAAACAAAACCAAGCAGCAACCCAAAGTTATTGGAACTCTCATTTTCTTCATTGCACTGGGAAATAGATCTTGAATTGTTGTTGTAATTGTTTCTTCAGAAGAAAAAAAATGTTAAATTTGATCCAAAAGACTAATAAAAGAATTCAATTTGCATTAATCATATTTTCAAATATGTGTTGAGTGTACTCTGAGCCCCACCTTAAAACAAAACACCATATGGTCTGTTGTTTTAGGAACCATCACTTGAGGATTCTGACCAAAAGAGAATGTGTTTCTTTCTTTCTTCGTGTGTGTGTGTGTGTGTGTGTGTGTGTGTGTGTGTGTGTGTGTGTTTACTGGGTATGGAACTCAGGGTTACTTGCTCTTGTTCAGTGCTAGTGCTCTACCACTTGAGTCACACCTTCAATTTCAAACTTTTTGTTGATTAATTACATATAAGAATCTAGGATTTACCTTCTAAGGTTGGCTCTGAACTGTGATCCTCTTGAGTAGCTAATAGATAGGAGCCACCAATGCCTCTTTTTTTTATTAGTTAGTTGTTTGTTTTTTATTTGTTTATCTGTCTTATAAGGTTTTTCATTAATATCAGTCACAAAGTAACATATCTCTGGAGACTAAAGCAGTTTTAAAAAGAGTTAAAAGAAAAAAGGGGATTCAAATAGGATTTAAATCTAGGTAATATTTTAAAAGTATAGACACCGGCATGTCTTTAGATTTCAGAAATGTATGTGTTCATTAAACAGAGAACTAGCTAAGAACACAAAGGTGCATGAAATCATTGTATATTTGAGATGTTTTAGGGCTTTGGAACATAACCAGAGGAATCTAGACTTGCTCTTGAAAACAAAGTATCTAGAAAAATTTTGTGTAAGAGAATATGATGAAAACTATTGCATAGTTCCTAGCTGTGTACCTTAAGGGAAATTCCTATGTATACATAGAACAGTGTATAAGGATAGTTATTTCAGCTGTGATTGTTACTTTTTAAAGTAACAGTTTAACCAACTGAATACAAGAAATGGAAATTTGTGGTGTGTTATGGGGGTGGAAGGTCAAGGGGAGGATGGTAGAAAAATGGAGAGAGAAAAGGTAGATGAATGCATCATAATATTCAATAATTATATGAAATAAAACTAGGAAAATTGGGACAGTGGGGTTGGGAGAGATGAGGGAGAATGACAAAAGTAGTGATGTTCATCAAGATGCATTGTATAATAAACTGACATATTGAATGGTAACCCCTTTCTAAAACTAAAGATAATTTTAAATTAAATAGGGAAATTTAAATTAAATAGGGCAATCCATTGGGCAATAGATTATTTGTTAAATAGCTCTATATGTCCATGTTTTAATGTGGATTCATTTATATGTCTTTGTATATCAAAATAGTATGTAAGCTATGAGACTTCACATTTATGTGAAGTATTGAATATTTGTGCTAATTATAGATATATACAATGTATGCAGACATGGAATGAATATGGTAAAAATCGAAGATGATGTTTCCTCTCAGGAAAAACGTGAATTGTGTAGTATAAGACTTCAAGTTCATCTGTAACACTAAGCAATATTTGAAGAATATATGATAAATTATTTAGGTTTATTTCTTCAGAGAGTCAGCTCCACGAATACTATTTATTTTTTCTATTTCTATTCTTTTAATTTACATTTTACTTTGAAAATTAATTGAGAATGGTTATGCTTTGAATAACAGCTAGAGGGGGATGGTAGGAGTAAACAAAGGATACTTTTAGTAGAGAAAAAGTGAAGGAAATGTGGATTATGTTAGCACTGGGAGTATTCCTTACCAATTGTTGCAAACTGAGAATCGAGACCCAGAGTTAAAAGCATGAAGAAAAACAATATGGACCAAAATGGACCACCTGGAAGTTGGGCTAGAGCCTCTGGGTAGGCAATGAACGCCAAATCGAAGCCTAGGGGGAAAAATGTGTGATACTTTAAATTAGTCACCAAGAAAAACCAGATGTTTGGATACTTTCAAAGATTTTACAGAAGTCTTATCTTAAATAGGCAATGCAACCTATGGCAATGTTTATCAACTATATGATTTCATCTCTTAAAATATGTGACGTAGTTGTTATAAAATATGCTAATGTGAACATATGACAAGAGTTAAGCTACTAGTGCAAATTTTACATTTGGAATATTTCTCATGTAAGAATATATATTCTTTATTTATTTTAAACACAGTCTCATTGTATAGCCCAGGCTGGCCTCAATTCTAAATCCTTCTTCTCCTATTTCAAGTGCTGGGATTAACAAGCTTGTGATTTGGAAACAGCTGTCTTTTTCTTTTCTTTTCTCCTTCTTCTTTTTTTTTTTGCCAGTCGTGGGGTTTGAACTCTGGGCCAGGGCACTGTGCCTCAGCTCTTCAGCTCAAGGATAGCGCTCTACCACTTGAGCCACAGCACCACTTCCCGTTTTCTGAGTGGGTTATTGGAGATACGACTCTCATGGACTTTCCTGCTCAGGCTGGCTTTTAACCACGATCCTCAGAACTCAGCATCCTGAGTAGTTAAGATTACAGGCCTGAGCTACCAGCATCTGGCTGGAAACAACTGTCTTTAATGTTAAAAACCTGAATCAGTTCACTTTATCTTAGTCACAAATTCAAAAAGAGTACCATTATCTAGTAAGATACATATTAATATGGAACTACATTTTAATCTTCATTCCAAATGCTTACTCAGAATCCCTGAGCAATGCCATTTTAATTAGCTTATAGGTATCTGCAAAGTTGTATGTAGTAAACTATAAATTGAATCTTGTTTTCTATTTGATATTACCTTAATAGATGCTTTTAATTTTCTCCCAATTTAATTATGTGATCTTGCTTTAATTATTTTGTTTCTCTTACTTCCCAGAGGACTGACCTGGGATTCCTAAAACTCAACTTTGAGTATAGGTGCTATCATTTCCTGGATATTTGACCTTATGTAACACAAAGATAACATTTCTGTACATCAGTACACTATGAAGAACTCTACTTGAATCCCTTCTAGTCCTGACATTCTGTCATCATTCACCAATAATTCTATCAAATGACATAAAATAGAAGTAAGTTTAATAAGGAATTCCTGCTTTAAGAATCCTGGTGTTTACTTTCTAAGAATATGAGTGTGTGTGTGTGTGTGTGTGTGTGTGTGTGTGTGTGCGTGCACACTCACACACACCAGTCCTGGGGCTTGAAGTCCAGGCCTGGGAACCGTTCCTGAGCTTTTTTTAATCAAGGCTAATTTTGTAGCACTTGAGCCAAAGTTTAACTTCTGCTTTTTGGTGATTAATTGGAGATAAGAGTCTCAGACATTTCCTGCCTGAGCTGGCTTCAAACAGTGATTTTCAGATCTCATTCTCTTGAGTAGCTAGGATGACATGTGTGAGCCACCAGCACCTTGTGTCTTCTTAAACAGTGGTTTTCTACTAAACTGTTGTCAACAAAGATCACACATTATTACAATATTAAAGCTAACTATATAAAATGGAATCAGAAAATATACTCTAAATCACAAGCATTAATGAGTATATGCTAGATTAGAATTTCATAAGTTAGCTACATTGAATTAATCAAAGTTGATAAATGTATAATTTTATATACCTGATTTTACAACTTGAGAGACTTCTTGTCCAGATATATGAGCCATGTGTCCCAAAATAGAAAAAATAGCAAATCCAGCAAACACACTAGTGAGGCAATTTGTCAAACAAACTACAATGGCATCAGAATAGCAGTTGTTATTGAACTTATTGTATGATGACAGAGCAACTAAGCCACCCCAAGCCACCGAAAGGGAATAAAATATCTGAGTTGCTGCATCTTTCCAAACCTGTAAGAGAAAATTTAGATTTTTTTAAATGCATTTGTATTTGTTTACTTTGTCCCATCACTAGATACTATGTTAGTAATGAACTATACAACTTGGGGGAAAGAGAAATGGAAAAAACTGGGAGAAAATGAGGGAGAGGAGGCATTGTTCAAAAAGAAATGTACTCATTAATTGATTTATGTAATTGTAAGTCCTCCATACATCACTTGTACAGTAACATTTTTAAAAAACATATTTGTATAAAATGTTTTCAAACATAAAACAAAATAAGCAACCAAGAGTTAACTCCTCAGCTTAAGAAATACAATGCTATAGTTTTTCAAAGCCTTTTTGACCCCTCTAAGAAAAAAATGTAAAGGCCAAACAAAGGATGAGGCAACAATGCTTGAGAAGAAATGTACTCATTATCTTGCCCATGTAATTGTAACCCCTCTGTATGGTATTTTCACAATAAAAAAATGCGAAATGTTGGAAGCCTAGTCTTATATTATAATATCAATTCATAGTCAAACTACATTAATTCATTTTATCTTTTGAAATGATCTAACACATAGACGGTGATCAATTTGAACTTCAATTTTATTTCTATCTGTTTGCCTCTAGAAATACTCTTTGGATTGGAAAACTTGCCAAAGTTAGAAAGGGGTAGACCTAAGGCAAATGAAGAAATAAACTAATTTCACGTATGGACACATCAATGTAAATTAACCTCCAATACTAAAATAATAAAGTCTTAAATAATTTAGACTTATTGTGGTTAATCATTGAATGAAAATTGTTAAGCACAATAAAAGGAACTCAAAACTAAAAATTGACATTTCAAGCTTTAAAATGTAAATGGCAGGTTTCAAGACTAAGACATCATCAATTTGAGAAAGTTCCACAGAGAAATTCTACATCACATAATAAAATATTCAATTATAAATATTTAGAAAACACTACTGTGAATGCTGAGCCCCCAGGTCTGATAAAGAGAATTGGAATGCCATTCTTTGACTCTCATAAAGCTGGGAGCAGCCTGAGAAAGATCAATTGCTTCTAGCCTTACATATACCCAAGATTCTGCCCTAAATGTGAGTTACTCAGAATCCAAACTTTCTTGGACCATGAAGTTAAAGGCATATACAAATTGTGATGGTTTGCTACTTGCCTCCCCTTCCTAAGATAAGAAAGTCACTTATCCTAGGATTATTTCACATGCTGATGACTGTAACTTCACAAAGAGATTGAGATCTTACTTTCTGCATGTATTCCTCTGTCCGATAATCAATAAAGACCCTGTTAATGAGGGACCTTGGGAGAAAAGATTAATTACCTATAAAGGAAAACTAATTAGAATCACCTCAGATTTCTCAGCAGAGGCAATCAAAGCAAGAAGAGCCTGGAATGATGTATGCCATGCCCTAAAAACAAACAACTATCAACCAAGAATACTGTACCCAGCTAAACTCTCCTACACAACTGAAGGCCAAATAAAAACCTTCCATAGCAAAGAAAAATTGAAACAATATATCGACACCAAACCAGCCCTACAAAAGATTCTTAAAGATGTCCTACACATAGAAAACCAACAAGACCACAATAAAGGCCAAGACACTGCAAACAAACTGAGAATCCAAGAACCATAGCAAGAACCTAGTTTTTGCAGCCCCAAGAAGGTGGATAATATGGCAGGAACTCCCAAATACCTCTCAGTCTTATCTCTCAACATTAACGGACTTAAGCTATCCAATTAAGTGACATAGACTGTCTAGTTGGATTAAAAAACAAGATCCTTCTATCTGCTGCCTTCGGGAGTCACATCTTGCCCGTAAAAAAAACACATTTTCAATATTAGAGGCTGGAACAAAATCTATCAAGCAAACGGCCCCAATAAACAGGCAGGAGTTGCAATCCTAATATCAGACAAAATAGACTTAAAAGTAAAATTAGTGAGAAGAGATAAAGAAGGTCGCTACATACTAATTAAGGGATCTCTACTTCAGGAGGATATTACAATTCTAAATATCTATTCGCCAAACAAGGGACCACCCAAATTTATCCAAGAAACACTACTTGCCCTCAAATCCCACTTAGATCCAAAGACATTAATTGTAGGGTTTTTTAACACACCACTCTCCCCACTAGATAGATCAACTCAGAAAAACTCAACAGAGAAACTGCAGATCTAAACAGCTGCATAGATCAACTAGATTTAACAGACATCTACTGAATATTTCACCCAGCAGCATCAGAATACATGTTTTTCTCAGCAGCACATGGAACATTTTCTAAAATAGACCACATTTTAGGCCACAAAGCAAACTTGTCCAAATTCAGAAACATTGAAGTTATAACTTGCATTCTCTCTGACCACAAGGGAATAAAATTAGAACTCAACACCAAAAGCCACCAAAGAAAGTCCGGCATCACATGGAGGCTGAACAACACTCTGTTGAATCACGAATGGGTCATGGAAGAGATTAGAAAAGAAATTCAAATGTTCATGCTATTCAACAAAAATAAGCACACAAATTACCAGCTCCTCTGGGACACAGCAAAGGCAGTACTCAGAGGCAAGTTTATACCTCTGAGCTCCTACATCACCAAATTGGAGAGATCTGACACCAACAATCTAATGACGCATCTAAACCTCCTGGAAAACGAGCAGCAAGATAAACCCCAATCCAGTAGACTGAAAGAAATAATTAAAATTAAATCAGAATTAAATGAATTAGAATCCAAAAAACCTATAGAAAGAATCAATAAAACAAAGAGTTGGTTCTTCGAAAAAATTAACAAAAATGACAGACCCTTAGCAAATCTTATCAGAAAAAGAAGAGAACACATCAAAATAAATTAACTCTGGTATGAGAATGGAAACATCACTACAGAAATAACCAAGATTCAGAACACTATAAGGGAATACTTCTCAAAACTTTATGCTAATAAGTTTGAGAACTTGGCAGAAATGGACCTTTTTCTAGCAAATATTGACATGCCAAAACTAAACCAAGATGAGTTAAACTATCTTAACAGGCCCATATCAAGCATTGAAATAGAAACAGCAATAAGAGTCCTCCCAGCTAAAAAAGTCCAGGACCAGATGGTTTTACAGCGGAATTTTACAAGGCCTTCAAAGCAGAGCTCACACCAATACTCCTCCAACTCTTCAATGAAATTGAAAGAGAAAGTTCACTACCGAACACATTCTATGAAGCCATCATAACCCTCATCCCAAAACCAGGCAGGGACTCATCAAAGAAAGAGAACTATAGACCCATTTCTTTGATGAACATTGATGTAAACCTTCTCAACAAAATTTAGGCCAATCAACTTCAACAATTCATCCAAAAAATTATACACTACAATCAAAAAGGATTCATTTCAGGGATGCAAAGCTGGTTCAATATATGCAAATCAATTAATATTATTCATCACATCAACAGGAGCAAGGATAAAAGCCACATGTTTATCTCAATAGATGCAGAAAAAGCATTCGACAAGATCCAACACCGCTTTATGATGAAGGTTTTGGAAAAATTAGGAATCCATGGAACATTCCTCAATACAATAAAGGCTGTATATGACAAACCTACAGCCAGCATTATACTTAATGGTGAAAAGCTAAAGCCATTTCCTCTTAACTCAGGAACAAGACAAGGATGTCCACTATCTCCACTTCTCTTCAATCTAGTATTAGAATGCCTAGCTACAGCAATAAGACAAGATGCAGACATAAAGGGGATCCAAATAGGGAAGGAAGAAATAAAACACTCCCTCTTTGAGGACGACATGATCTTGTATTTAAAGAATCCTACAGACTCCACTCCCAAATTACTTGAGCTGATTCAAAACTTTGACAAAGTAGCAGGGTATAAAACTAAACCCCCAAAATCAATGGTTTTCTGTATGCCAACAATGAGAAAAGTGTGGCTGAATTTAGGAAAGCAACTCCATTTGTAATAGCCCCACAAAAAATAAAATACCTAGGAATTAACCAGAGAAGTGAAGGACCTCTACGATGAAAACTTTAAAAACTTGAAAAAGGAAATCAACACAGAACTTAGAAAATGGCAAAAACTCTCATGCTCCTGGAATGGAAAGATTAATATTGTGAAAATAGCAATACTTCCCAAGGCTATCTACAAATTCAATGTGATACCTATCAAAATTCCAACTTCATTCTTCAAGGAAATAGAAGAGGCAATCCAAAAATTCATATGGAACAATAAAAGACCCCAAATAGCAAAAACACTCCTCAATGGAAAGAACGCTGCTGGACGAATATCAATACCAAATTTCAAACTCTACTATAAAGCCATAGTAATCAAAATAGCTTGGTACTGGCACAAGAACAGACCTCAGGACCAATGGAACAGAATTGAAAACCCAGAAATGAACCTACAGACCTATAGCCATTGAATCTTTAATAAGGGAGCTAAAAAAATAGAATGGAAGAAAGACAGCCTCTTCAGTAAATGTTGCTGGCAAAATTGGTTAATTACTTGTGGAAAACTAAAGCTAGATCCTTATATATCACCCTGCACCAGAATCAACTCCAAATGGATCAAAGACCTGGGAGTCAAAGCAGACACTCTGAAAACATTACAGGAGAAACCCTAGGTCTCCTTGGCGCAGGCCAAAATTTTCTTAATAGAGACCTGGAAACACAACGAATCAAAGAAAGGTTGGACAAATGGGATTGCATGAAGTTGCCTAGCTTCTGCATGGCAAAGGACATAGCTAGCAAGATCAATAGGAAGCCTACGGATTGGGAGAAGATCTTCACTAGCCATACAACGGACAAGGGTCTCATATCTAAAATATACTTGTAATGCAAAAAATTAAATCCCCAACAACAAATCCTCAAAGAAACAACTGCCCAATAAATAAGTGGGCTAAAGACTTAAAGAGAAACTTCTCTGAAGAAGAAAGAAGGATGGCTAATAGACACATGAAGAAATGCTCAACCTCCTTAGCCATAAAAGAAATGCAAATCACAACCACATTAAGATACCACCTCACCCCAGTAAGAATGGCAAATATCAAGAACTCTAATAACAACAGATGCTGGAGGGGATATGGACAGAAGGAAACCTTACTGCATTGTTAGTGGGAGTGTAAACTTCTTCAACCACTTTGGAAATCAGTATGGAAGTTCTTCCAAAGACTCCACATAGAGCTCCCTATGATCCAGCAATCCCACTTTTGGGCATTTACCGAAATGTTTACAAACAAGACCACACTAAAGCTAGCAGCACAACTATGTTTATTGCAGCATTATTTACCATAGCTAAGATATGGAACCAACCCAGATGCCCCTCAGTAGATGAATGGATCAAGAAAATGTGGTATATATACACAATGGAATTCTATGCCTCCATTAGAAAGAATCACATTGCCCCATTTGTTAGGAAATGGAAAGACGGAAAAAATTATATTAAGTGAAGTAAGCCAAGCCCAAAGAAATATAGGTCCCATGGTTTCCCTCATTTGCAATAGTTAGTATATGTATGAGTCAAGTAGAAAAGGTCAGATAAGGTGATGTTAGGAAAATGAACCCTAAGATATGTATTTAAATGTTTTTTGTCTTTCATGCATTTGTTTCTTAAGCATTTACATGATTATTTCTTTGTTGCTTTGTATGTCCCTCCCCCACAATATAACCCTGCTTTCACTGTATTTGATGTCGGTATAATTTTTGGAGGGGAAGGGGAAAAACAAGACGTTTAAGTAAGGATACAGGTGGACCCGTTGCAACAATGAGAAGTACAAGTTGTCATGTTGAATAAGAACTTTACAAGTTTGGTGGGCGGGGGGGAGGGTCGGGGGAGTATTGGGTGGGAGGTGGAGGCTTGGAAGGGATGGGAAGGGGAAACAAAGGAGGAGGCTACAATGCTTGATAAAAAATGTACTCATTATCTTGCCCATGTAAATGTAACCCCTCTGTACAGTTTTTATCATATTAAAAAAATTAAAAAAATGAGGGACCTTGGGGCATCTGTTGCTGACAAGAGGCACAGGCCCCCTTGGTTCCCCTAAACCAGTTTCATGGTCCAGTTTCCATCACTGCCTTGCTCTCTGTCCTGCTAGGTTAAGGTGCTCATGGTGGTTTACAACACCACTGGCTGGAAATTAACATGAATTCTATATAGAAGACTATATAGCTCTACTAGTTCTAGTTTGGCAGATAACATTATTGCTTAATTTTTTTTTTTTTTTGTCGGTCGTGGGGCTTGAAATCTAGGCCTGGACACTATCCCTCAGCTCTTCATCTCAAGGCAAGCACTCTACTGCTTGAGTCACAGCGCCACTTCCTGTTTTCTAGTGGTTTATTGGAATGCGTCTCACGGCCTTTCTTGCCTGGGCTGGCTATGAACTGAGATCCTCAGATCTCAACCTCCTGAGTAGCTAGGATTATAGGCGTTAGCCACCGGCGCCCGGCTTGCTTGATTGTGATATAAGAGTATGAGTTTCTAAATTACCAGAGGCTTAAAATATACAGTTTGTAAATGTTGTCTACAAAAACAATGAAAACATTCTTAGCTTGTATCCATAGGATGTTTGTATCTACAGTACACTACTATTCTTGCTCTCTTCCTCCAAAAATTGTAAAATTATCATGTGCCATGACATAAGCCATTATCTACAGATATGCCAAAGTTAATAAAGCTACCTGACTCACATTCATTGCGCATATTTATGTAAAAATTTTATATATAGAATACTTAGTCTATGTTAAATTTCTATTTTAGCTTTATAATACAGTAGACAAAAATTGATCTCACTTTTGGCATATTAATATTTGATGATAATTAAATGTATAATAGGGGGCTGGGAAGGTGGCTCAGTGGTAGTGCTTGCCTTACATGCATGAGGCCCTGGGTTCGATTCCTCATCACCACATAAGCAGAAAAAGCCAGAAGTGGTTCTGTGGCTCTAGTGGTACAGTGCTAGCCTTGAGCTGAAGAGCTGAGGGACAGTGCCCAGGCCCAGAGTTCAAGCTCCACGACTGGCAAAAAAATAAGTAAAATAAAATGTATAATAGGGCATGAAATTTTCAGCAAAGAAATATCCTTTTGAAAATTAATAATCCTTCACTGCTACTAGTCAAAGAGAATCAGTTATGTTAATGAAAAGACTTAATCTATTACTCAAAACTGAACATGAATATAATAAGGGAGAGTGAGGAAACCAGTGGAGATAGAAGGAGAGAGTGCTGGGGAGATACAATTTTTTTAAATGTTAGTATATATTTTTTAAAGATTATTATTGTAAAGGGGTTACAGTTACATGAGTAAGGTAATGAGTACATATCCTATTGAGCAGTTACCACCTCTTTTGTTTTTCCCATACCATCCCTTCCCTCCCGACCTCCCCAACTCACCCCCCTACCCCACTGCAAGTTGTAAAGTTTGTTTTCAAAATAGTGTCTTCTACATCTCATTGTTACAATGGGTCAACCTGTATCCTTTATTTCAGCAAATAACAAAATGCTGAAATAAAGATGCAATTTAAATATACTGTAGACATATATGAAAACAGAGTAATGGAGCACATTCATATTATATTTTCAAATGGTGAGAAGTGTTAATTAAGAATAATGGGATGAATATGATCATATATGTCTATGTGTGGAACTATAACAATAAAACCCCTTTGTACAATTTTTACAATGAATAAATATTAAATTTGAATTTTTCTATTGATAAAAGTTATCTCATTCACAGGAGAGGACTACTGTCATATACACAGTAATATCAGACATCCTGGTGGCCAGAACTCTTAACATTCAACTACATGTTCTAAATATTTTAGAAGAATTGTTTAGGAGAAATCATTGTTATGCTTTATGATTTTAATTTTTAATGTTTATATTATCACAATTTTTAAAAACAAGTTTAATTTATATTCATAACACAAATTAAATTTTATTTTCTAATCTTTAAAAAAATAAACTACATGTTCTTTTGCAAGCTACTGTATCATGGTATTTACATGAAACAAAAGGATTTCAATGTTTTCTATTAAGGTTTACATTCTCTGTTTATTTTAAATCCAAATTCTTACCTCAGCTTCCTTAAGTTTTGTGAAATTTGACTGTGTTCCAATATAGTATGAAATGCCTTTTGATGCACCCTCCAGAGTTGCACCTCGTATTAACAAGATAAGTAGGACAAAATAAGGGAAAATGGCTGTAAAATATACCACCTAACAAATAAAAACAACCAAAAGTTAGTGTAATTCTAAAATCTTGGCACAGTTGAATGCAAGTTGAATGATTAGTCAATTGAGATTAGTAAAATAAAATACTAGAGATTTCATAAGATTATTAATAAGTCTGATGATTCCTTTATCACAGTGAATAGAATTTCACATTTCTCTCCACTCTCAGAGGATCTATTCGCAAAACACTGATGTATGAAGCAATATCTCACAGTTTCATGCTGTAAACAGCAATACATCGGCAGTGATAACTTGAGATCTAGCTGAAATACTTAAGTATGTCCTTGTAGAAACATCAAGGGGACAGAATGTCTTTCATCAAATTATTGCATTAAGATGAAAATTATTTAAAATCCTACAATAGTACAGTGTCATGTCCCCCAAAGAAGGAAAATATCTGTGAGTGCATGTCCAAATTCCATGAAAGTTTTATTAAATAGTGAACAATTGTTATTTGAAGCTACTATTAAGAGCATTGATAGCACACATTCAAACATACTGCTGCGGTCCTAGACCATACATAGTTCCAATTGAACAAACTGTCTTTGTAGCTGGCTTTTCATTAATGTAATTTCTTTGATCCATAGATGTCCTGTGTTTGATAATATGCTCAGGGGAGATTATTTAAACAAGTCATCCAATGGCCAATAAAAATTAATTGCCTGGGTAAATGGTATTTAATGGACTCTTCCAATATTAATACCAAAAACGAACCAAGAGTTTCAAAAAATGTTCAACTGAAACATGTTGGAAATTTCCACTTGGGTTGTGATATTCATGGTAGTTTTACAATATAAGCATGTCTCATGAATTAAAGGTGCTAGATATCATAACAATAATAAAAAGATATTATCCTGCTATTACTGTTTACCTGCTTTCAATAAACTTTAATAGTAAAAAACACAATCATTTTCCTAAATACTGTATAACTCCTCAGAGGGAACTTTTCATATTGTTCTTTGAAATCATCATTACACTAATGAAAAGATTTGGGATTTTTTACTTTTAGCAAATGTTGGGAGATTGAACTTAGGGCCTTGCACTTATTAGGCATGTGCTGTACCACTTAAGCCACTGTAAGTTCTGCAAAATAAAAATATCATACTGGGTGTATGGCTAAGTGGTAGAGTGCTAGCATTGAGCAGAAAGGCCAAGCAAGAAAGTGAAACCCTGAGTTCAAGATCCAATACTGGCACAAACCACAGACTAATACATGAACAAATAAAGAGGAAAAATATGACAGATTTTTTAATTTAAAGAAGCCTTTTTGCTGCGAAAAGATGAGCCCATTTGTAAAGGTTTTATTTAGGAAAATAAATACCAAGTCCTCTCTCTCTCTCTCTCTCTCTCTCCTTTTCTCTCTCTCTCTCTCTCTCTGTTTGTCTCTGTCTGTCTGTCTGTCTCTCTTATAAGAGTAGTCCCAATATTATTGCCCTATGCATAGTGGAATTCAATGTTTCACCTATGCATAGTGGAATTCAATGTTTCAAACCAAACACTAAAATACTATATAACATTCAAGATGCTTATTATTATAGTGGGACAAATTTTTTAATATAGTTAAGCTTCAATTCTGAAAAATTATACAACTCTTGCATTAGATTTTGCTTTCTTGTTAACAGTAGCAGTGATCTAATGTATTTACTTTAAATTAGAATGTCTACTTTAAAAGTTCTCATATAATTGAATGAAAACTATTATAGACAAAAATACAATGAAATTGGAAGGCCACAACATCATTATCTGAAGCACTCCCTATATTACCTTGCCAGAAGACTTAATTCCTTTAAATAGTGCTGCTCCAACTATGAGCCAAGCCAGAAGAAGACAAAGTGCTAGATACCACACAATTACTCCAGTTTCATCCATTCCACTAGACCGTTGAAGTGCCACTTTACTGAAACACAAAAGTCCTTTTATGAACACAGAATCATTTCTTTTTAAATTATTGAACTTTGGGGTCTGTTTCTTCTAAGGGAAATTATCATGAGTAATGTATCTGATTAATACAGCAATGTCCTGGGACTCTTTCATTGATAGATTCTATTCTAGGAAGGCACAAAAATAATACCCTTAAAAAATTAAGCTCTGGGGCTGGGAAGGTGGCTCAGTGGTAGAGCACTTGCCTTGCATGCATGAGGCCCTGAGTTCGATTCCTCAGCACCACATAAGCAAAAAGAAAAAAGCCGGAAGTGGCGCTGTGGCTCAAGTGGTAGAGCGCTAGCCTTGAGCTGAAGAGCTGAGGGACAGCGCCCAGGCCCAGAGTTCAGGCCCCACGACCGGACCCAAAAAAAAATTAAGCTCTGAAGAGACCTGTATTCATCTATGGAATTGTCACTATCAAATCCTCTCATACTAATGTATGCTAATGTAAAAATAAAAAATGAATGTATTTATAAACTTAAAAGTCAGGCTAATCACAGCCAGTCTAAATTTCTAAAACCTATAATGAAAAAAATCTACTGGTTTCATGTATGATTTTTCCCTTAATATTTAAAACTTTTACTGTGAAGAAATTAATCATATATCCTCTGTCTTCAGTTGACTCATCATTATATTTTTTCTCAGAATAATAAAGAAAACATGTTAAATTGTATTAGATAGTTCCTTCTTCCATACTTGTACATATTGCCAAATTCAAAACATCCCATTATTCATCTTTTTAAAAGGTTTCCTGATTTTTCTCTAACAATACACATGGATCTAGACCCTCAATTCTTGATGTTTACCATTTCAAGACTTAAAGATTTTAGAGTGACACTATAGAAGGTAGGATGAAGGTTCCTTAAACAATATAAATAGATCTACCATGTTCTAACAATTTCTCTATTGGGTATATACTAAAAGGGAATGGTTTTAGTGTATGGAAGAAACATCTGCATTCTGAAGCTTGGGAGCACCATTCACAACAGCCAAGAAATGGAAACAGCTTTGATGTCCATCATATGATTAGATAAAAAAGGTGGTACATATATACAATAGAATTCTATTCTGCCATATTCAATAATGAAATCCTCTCCTTTGTACATCAAGCTGGAAGTCACTGCATTACATGAAATGAGCCAGACAAAGAAGACAGTACTTCATGATCTCACTCATTTATGGAATGTATAATGCTGATCTCATAGAAGATGAAAAAAGAACAGTGCCACCAGAGGCCAATAGGTACTATTTTCACTAAGCTACAATTAGACAGGAACAAGACAATGTAGTATGCTGTGGCACAGCATGGTAACTATAACAATGCACCTCACATTCAAAAAGCTAAACAAAGAGATTTTGAGATTTCACCATAAAGAAATGGTGTTAGAGATGTTATTGAATATTTATTTAATCATCACACAGCATATTTATGTAGCAAAACATCACACAGTCTACCATTAATATGTATCTTTTAGGTTTAAATATGTCAGTTAAACATAAGGTTTAGGGTCTTAACATGAGGCTGAAGAGCTCATTAAACAATAGAGTCATGTATATTAGCTAAGAGTAATGGATAGGTATAAAAGCAGTAAAGAGAGATGGTTCAAAGGGGAAGGAGTACACAAATAAAGAGGAGAAAGGAGAAGAAAACAGTCAAAACCCAACGTATATATACAAAATTATAAGAATGAGGAAAAGACTGGGTACGTAAGGGATGGGAGCGAATTTTGAAAGGAGTGACATTGATCAAGATATATTGTATTCATAAACTGCTTTGACAAACTTGTACAACTACTTAAAGATAAAATGTTAAATTACAAAATAAGATTAATAAAAGTAAACATAACCCTAAGTATCTATTGTTACAGTGACAATTGTAAGTAAAATGGATAATGAAAAATTGCAACTTTAGAAGGAAAGTTGGGCCAGCTACCAGTGTCTCACAATGTAATCCTCGCTACTCAAGAGTTTGAGAATGGAAATAGTTTGAGACCAGCTTAGGCAGAAAAGTTTATGAGACTATATAGAAAATAGCAAAAATCAAGGTTGGAAGCATGGCTCATGTGGTAGAGCATTTGCCTACCAAGAAAGAGGTCCTGAGTTCAAAACTTAGTAAAACAAAAAAAGTGTCTAGCAGTATTATCCACCAATTCATCATCAAAATTTCTTTATTATAACCAAAAAATTGGATATTTTTCCAAGTAATCTGTTAATTTTCTAGCTAGTAAGTACTAAATTATTACTTATAATACTGTACACCTTGAATAACTGATAAAATACATATTACTAATTATAAGCTGAAGTCTCAAGAAATAACTACTTATGTAGGATAAGTAAATCTCTGAGTCAAATGAAGTCTAATCTGCTATGATTTCCTTTTTTTCTACTTATGACTGCTAGAAAAAGAACTGGTAAGGATTTTGTTTTTGTTTATAAAACCTTTCCATAACCTTTGTAATAAATCATCTAGTGTACTTACTCCCAATACTGTTCACTGGGAAGCTGTCCTGGCTGATAAATTTCACTGCCATTAATGCAAGTAAAGTTGTTGGCATCTACCCAGCTTATATTCACTTGGATGAACTCTCCTCCTGTACTCACATTACAGTGAGTTACTAAAAAGGATAAAAAAAAAAGTTCAGACATAGACATATTCTTAATTCTAAAAGAGTACTTTCCTATTGAAAAAGTTTTAATGATAAAATACGTAAATTACTCTGTAAATTGTTATATGGTGATGGTAGAATTAAAAAAAAATTACAAAGCCAAGTGCTGGTGGCTTGTGCCTATAATCTTATCTACTCAGATCTGAGGATTGCAGTTCGAAGCCCGCCCTGGCAGAAAAGTCCCCAGGAGACACTTATCTCCAATTAACCACTCAAAAATCAGAAGTGGCACTGTGGCTCAAGTGATAGAACACTAGCCTTGAGCACAAATAGGCTCAGGGACAGTGCCTAGGCCCTGAGTTCAAGCCCCACAACTGAAAAAATTAAAGAATAAATCATGTACAGTCAACATGTGATTCTTCTCTAATACTATGTTGCAAAGAAGTATAATATCACCAGCCCTTTTAAGCCATTTTAGTGTTTATGATAATTAACAATAATATTGTTTAAGTTGATATTTAGTATTTTAAGGAATTTTTAGTAGGTGAACTTACTTATTTAACCTACATAGATAAACATGACTTTCAATTCTTTAAAAGTATGAAATTTTTATAACTGTATCCACTGATGTGTATATATAATCACAGTGGGACATTATTCCAAAGATTAGCAACATATTGACAAAGACAATCCCCAATGTTCTCCAAAACCTACAGTACTATTATAGTGCAAAGCACTTTTCTCTTTATCACATTCTCATTTCTATTCTGCCCAGGACTTAGGTCTGCAAGAAGTACTCCTAGGCATGATTTAGCATTCCTGCAAACATGTTACATTAATCATATTTTCAGGTGATTTGTGCTATATTCTGTTTTACCCAGTGACTCATGGAGCACATAAAATTTTACCTAAATTACTTAGAAAATAGTTTAATCCTTTAAGTCTATTTTAGAAGATTTTTTAAAAGAAAAAGTTGATTATATCTTAAAAATTAAATCAATGAAATTTACCTATTGGGGATCTGCTACAGTTTCGGTCTGACCAAGAAGAACAATATTTCCATGGTAGTTCACTTTGAAAAGAAGCAAACATGTAGTAAAGACTATAGGCAATTATGACATTGTAATATATTGTCACAAAGATGGATATCAGGACCATTGTGATTCCCACACCTGGAAAAGAGAACAATTAAACTCATGAGGCTTTCATCTCAACTTCTACAAAATCTATTTTAAATAAAAAGATTATTTCATATAACTCTGTCATCCTTTGAGAAGGGTTAGAGATGAAAAGGTGATACACTCAGAGTACCTTTTTTACAAGATTTAAAACTATTTTGATAACTGGCTTTTTGGGGCCATTCCTGAGCCTGGACACTGTCCCTGAGCTTTTGTTCTCTGAGCTAGCACTCCACCGATTGTGCCACAGCTTCATGTCCACCTTTTTGCTCTTTAATTGGAAATAATAGTCTCAGACTTTCTGGCCCAGGTTGGCTTTGAATCATGATCCTCAGATCTCAGCCTCCAGAGTAGCTAAGATTATAAGCATGAGCTACCAACACTTGGATGATTGGGGTTTTGAGACAATTTTCTACTTGTTTAGAAAATGTATTAAGTCAAACTAATAAAATTTACATAAACCCTGTGTTTGTATTACTTTTTAATTTTTAAAATCCTTCTCATAATAGGCATACTTAACACTAAAAAATTTCAAAACTCAGGCTCTATTGACTCACTACAACTTATCTGTAAAGCAGCATTTGCCACACAAAAAAGGAGGTCTCTGCATTAATGTCTTGCAAGGACCTAGTACTGAATTTTTAGAAGTATGTGTAAAGGAAATTCAGTGATTCAGTAACAATCTAAATTCAAATCTTGAAATTTTCTTCACCTCAAGTTTCAAAATGTTTTTTGCATACTGGATATAGCTCCAATACTTGAGACTAGTTTAGAAATCAGCCCTTCAATCTTCCAACACAGTATTCTATTTACCTCACTAGGGATTTTTTTTTGTTAGTCGTGGGGTTTGAACTCTAGGCCTGGACACTGTCTCTCAGCTCTTCAGCTCAAGGAGAGCACTCTACCACTTGAGCCACAGCACCACTTCCGGTTTTCTGGTGGTTAATTGGAGATAAGACTCTCATGGACTTTCCTGCCTCTGCTGGCTTTGAACTGTGATCCTCAGATCTCAGCCTCCTGAGTAGTTAGAATTACAGGCGTGAGACACCAGCAACCAGCAGGATTTATTTTTGAAATTGCATTGAGCCTTTTACAAATAGTTTCCAGCAGCTAATACATACCAAAATGATATTTAATCTTCAGGAAGAAAGTCAGTTTGATGCTTAATAACAATCAAAGCATTTTTCCACTTTATTAGTGTCCTATTTTATTAGAAGCATCCAAGAAATAGTACTGACTTGCTCTTCAACTTTTCTGAATGAGGCTTTGTAAAAGACATGCAAAGGCAGGAAGACAAGGACCTCATAAGAAGTATAAAGAAAAAGTCGTGAAGATAATACACAACAGGATTAAATAACAAAGAATTCAAATAGTGAAAAAAATTAAATGTCATTCTAGTCACCTTCCTAATCATTCTCATGTCTGCATCCAGGTTAAACAAAAATAAAAATAAATATTTAATTTGCAAGGTTTATTGTAGAAAAATACACAGAAAACATGGTTTCTTTTCACAAAGTGAAGGGGGCACAATTAGACCAATAATTATGATGATGAAAAGTCTTGAATACCAACCTTGAAATAATGGCAGAATCCTCCAAACTGAAACAGGACCTAAGCTAGCAAATTGCCCCAGTGAACACTCTAGGAAGAACAAAGGTAAACCAGCCAATGCTAGCATAATTGTATAAGGTATTAAGAAAGCACCTAGAAAAGACAAAAAAAGAACAGAAGTATCACTACAGTTCAAAGACTTGATGTTACTTTCACAACCAGTACAACATTTTTAAAGTCTTCTGATACAGTGGAATCAATATCCTAGATTTGGAACCCTAATTCACTACTTTCTGTGAGAAAGGTGATTGATTCACTAAATATTGGGGTTCTCATCCAAGAAATTAGAATGTTACTATTAGTTAACAAAGATGTTGCAATTATTAAAATGGATGGCCTATCAAAAGTAAGGCAGAGATGAAATGTTCACAATCTGTGGAGCTAGATGGACTTGGATTAAATTGTTGGCTTTATAATTTACCAATTATGTCTCCTAGGACAATTTACCTAACCTATAGACCTTTGTGTTCCTCATGAAGGGGAGAACAAGGGCCGGATATATGACTTAGTGGTACAGTGTTTGTCTAGCATGCATGAAGCCCTGGGTTTGATTCCTCAGTACCACATAAACAGAAAAGTCCAGAAGTAGTGTTGTGGCCCAAAAGAATTTCAGGGACAGTGCCCAGGCCCTGAGTTCAAGCCCCAGGATTGGCAAGCAAAAGAAAAGAGAACAACACCAATTCATCAGTTTTTAGCGAGGGATTAAATACTAGGCCTATGTGAAAACACTTGACATGACAGGTATATGTTCAATAATAATTTCCCTCACCTCTTTTGTCCTTTAAAAATAAATGTCCTACTATAGATAAGATATGGAACCAACCCAGATGCCCCTCAGTAGATGAATGGATCAAGAAAATGTGCTATATATACACAATGGAATTCTATGCCTCCATCAGAAAGAATGACATTGCCCCATTTGTTAGGAAATGGAAAGACTTGGAAAAAATTTTATTAAGTGAAGTAAGCCAGGCCCAAAGAAACATAGGTCCCATGGTTTCCCTTATTTGCAATATCTAGTACATGTCTGAGTCAAGCATAAAAGGTCAGATAAGGTGATGTTAGGGAAATGAACCCTAAGATATGTATCCAAATTTTTTTTTCTTTCATGTGATTGTTTCTAACACATTTATGATTATTTCTTTGTTGCTTTGTATGTCCCTCCTCCACAGTATAACCCCTGCTTTCACTGTATTTGATGTCAGTATAATTGGTTGAGGGGAAGGGGAAAAACAAATCGTTTAAATAGGGATACAGGTGGACCCATTGCAACAATGAGATGTACAAGTCGTTATGTCAAAAACAAACTTTACAACTTTAGTAGGGGGGAGGGGGAGGGGAGAGGATTGGGTGGGAAGGCAGGGGGAGGATGGGAAGGGATGGGAAGGGGAAACAAAGGAGGAGGCTACAATGCTTGACAAGAAATGTACTCATTATCTTGCCCATGTAATTGTAACCCCTCTGTACAGTATTTTCACAATAATAAATAAATAAATAATAAAAATAAATAAAAAATAAATGTCCTATTTATAATACTTAGGGTAAAAATGCTAAATGTAGTTCACAGTGAAAATTATTGCAATTAAGTTTATTGCTCTCCACATAGTCACAAGACTTTTTCAATGATAATAGGAAATTTATTGACTTAGTAGAAGAATTTCAACTTTTAAGATACTAATAGTTAACTTTCAATATTATATGAACTATTTTACTGGTGTTAGCTTATCCAACCTACTCCTTTTTTTAAATAAACTTTTATTATTTTATTTTTGTTTTATCCACTTTTGGGCATAATATGCCAATTAAAATCATTACCACATTAAAATGTAAAGCAAAGATAGAACATCAAACTTATTGATCAAGCATTCTGGAAGTCTTGGTAAAGTGTGACAAAAGTAATATGGGTTCAGTGGATGCAAATAAGAAATTTCTTCTACTCATATTAAAGATTCACTCAAGCACTTTTCATCCTATGATATTATAACATCATACCTCAGAATTACATGTTTTACAACCTTAAAATAGATTCTTTTGAAAATGAGACAATTATTTGTGCAAACTTATATTTAACTGGCTTTAATACCAGCCACAGAAGTCACCAGACCATAGGGAAAAATATGTTTGCATAGATGTTGCAATGTGGATACCATTACTACTATGACTAATTGAAGTCCAAACAGTACCAATGATAAATATGAAGAAAAAACAAACACAAAATAGGTTTACCTACCACAATGAACAGAGATATTGCCAGTCTATCACAGACAGACATTTTGGAAAAAAGGAAAAGATTCTTTCAGTGTTATATATGGCTTTTTACCCATTATTTCATTATTAGTAGTAGGAATAATTAAGCATTTGTTTAGTATAGTGGCTACAAGATGTTCATATTACTAATAGACAGCTTACATTAGGGTAACACTTCTATTTCATAAATTACTTTAAAAATCTGAAGATAAAACTATTTCCAGATTTAAACAGTTTATGTTAGCTTTGTTTTCCAATCCTGACAAAAAATTAAGCTATTAAGTTTAGATCTTTTAAAAATATATTTTAATAGATCACTTTTAACATTTGAGAAACTTGAATGTCATATGCATATTGAATTCTTAGTTAAAAAGAAACAGTTGAGAGAACCTAGATAATTACTCAAAATTATTTGAAAAAGTTGAGAGCTAAGCTTTAAGTACAAGTAGCTGATATCTGTAATCCTAGCTATACAGAAAGTTGAGATCTAAAGATTACAGTTTGAAGCCAACCTGGGCAGGTAAGTCCATGAGACCCTTATCTCCAATTAACCCATAGAAAACTGGAAGTGTTAGAGTGCCAGCCTTGAACAAAAAAGTTCAGGTACGGTGCCCAGGCACTGAGTACAAGCCCCAAGACCAGCACAAAAACAAATAGAAATGTTAGAGCCCAAACAGTATATTAATTTTAGAGGAAATGGCAAAAAACAATAGTCTATAATAAATAATATTATTTTCTTTAGACTGTATCTAAAAATTCTCTACTAAATCTAGTATGGTATAGTTCCTAGAAACTAACAGAAAATACTAGGTCATAGGTTATAATGTAAAATCACAGGGAATATCTTATACTCAACATAGCAAGGTCAAAAGGGTCCTTTTGACCCTAAGTACTTGTCTTTACCACACTGAACTTATGGACGTTACAAAACATCATAATACCTGATTCATTTCCCATCTAATAATATATCAAATCCACTATGGAGTGACCTAAGCCCTGGATAGGGAACACTTAAAGTGCTAAATGAACAGAACTCCTTTCTTAAATCTCTGAAAGCCAATGTTAATGTTTCTAATGAACTTAATTAACAAGACATAAGATTTAAATATTACCACACAAAATACTATTGTACTAAGAAAAAATAATTATGATGGCACAGTTACACTGGTAGTCAGTTATGAAATGAAAAGACATATCAGTTCTCTGATTCTAATAGAAACTGTAATTACTAGTAAATAAAATATACTGTAAGTGAAAAGTTGTTTCCACATTACTAGACAATTGTGCAATTCATTTTCTTTCCCTGTGTATGTCACCTCAGTTATTTTTTACTCCTTGTTCTAATTGAGCCTGCCTTAATGATCTACAATGTATAAACAGTATTATTTTACAAGAATAAAAACACCTAGTCTTATGGTTGCTGATTTTAGAAGGCTCTTCTACATGGTCAGTCCAATTTGGAATACAAGTAACTGAATAATGCATCTTTAAAGTATTAAACTTTTAATTGCTTTTTAATCATTTCTTTTCACATTGAATACCAAATATAATGCCTTATTCTTCTTAAGCAAACAATTTATTTGCACATATAAATAGAATTGTATTTCCCTGATTTTTTCTTAGATTTAGTTACAGATCAAAGCACAATTTGAGTCTTGATTATGACAGGAACACACAAAAAAAATTTAAGGTGCTCATCTCAGAAGTGCTAAAATGTAAAACTTTTATCAAGTTTTTTTTTTCTGAGACTGTCTGGAATCCAGATTCCTAACTTCAACTAGTATACTTATTTCTCATCCTCCTAATTACCCTAAATATTGTGTACCTTTCTTTAGCTCTTAAAATATCCTCAGATTATGTAGCACCCCATTTACAAACAAAGCAGGGGAAAGTTAGGAAGAATACCTCCGCCATTTGTATAGGTGAGATATGGGAATCGCCACACATTTCCCAATCCCACTGCATATCCAATCATAGAGAGGAGATAATCTGATTTTTTGGACCAGTTTCCACGATCCTGATTCTCATCACCTTCATCAACATGGAAATTCTCAGATGACGCTGTTACTTTCTGAGGAAGGAAAGAAAATATTTATCAATAACTTGTTTTACTCTTACAAATTGCAGAGAAGCATAATTTCACCCATTTATACTTACAAGAAAGAGAAAGGTAGAAAGATCAGACAGTCCCTGAATACTGGATCTCAAAGGAGTTCTTACCAAAGTTGGGAGATCTCTGCAAATAGCTGCTTTCTCTTAACATTTTCTTCTTGAAACAATAAAAAGAAAACGTGCAGGTAGAAAATTTCACTAGACCATCCTAGGTTTGTTGAAAAGTTAAACACTACGCCAGCAGGAAGAGCAAACAAAAGTGGACAAATCAAGTCTTACAGATGAGTTAAGAAAAGTCAACACTCTAGAGATTATAGTTGTTGATCTTTGGGAAGAAGAAGCAAATTTAGTTTCTACTTAAATATGAAGAAATTTACGTACTCCTGTTCTTATGTGCTGATAGTTTCAGATGTTTAGGGTTAAGTCAAATGTAGTTTCTCTCCAAGGCTTATCCCATAGAAACAGTGCTTTTCTAAAAGCCACATAAATAATGTGCTTGTATAAAGTTTTCCTGTCCCACCACTTGGAGCAGCAATCTCTTCCACTGAATGTAGGAGGAGAGAGGGAAGAGGGTTTCTGTCCCATCCTCTTAGCTGCTTTGCGGTAGGGAAGGCTCCCTGGGTCAGTTAAGGACATTATGCTTCTGCATTTTCCTCCAGCACAGGGTACAGTGGACAGGACAGAGAACAGGAGGAGTCCGTAGGTACTACCAAGATACAGGCTGAAATGTTCCCAAGTTAAGATATAGTTCCTAGCTAGGATACTTTCCCCTCCCTCAGGTAGGGGATAGAAAGACTATTTTACCCCCTCTATTCTGTGAGGAGATTACAGGCACACTTGAGGATAATTACACAGAAATGTGGAGAATAAAGGGCAGTAACAGAAAGTAAAAATTGAAACTTGTCCTTTCTCTCAAATATTCCCATCCCGGGCCCTCCATACATCCAGCAGCTCCCAGACCCCTACCTCCTTCCCCTTGCACTTCAAGAAGCTGGGGCACTTCAATTTGTCCATGGTTTGCTCAGTCCCTTGGCTGACTCCGCCTGGCCTCTTCTCACAGTCTGGCTGAGCTTGACTAGTGGCAGACGCACCCTTCCCCGTTTCCACCTGCCAGAGTGAGCCACCTTGCCCAGGGGTGGGACCATTTATGAAGGGAAGCTCTCTCCTCCCACTCCCCCGGTGCCTAGTCGGACTCAATTACCGGAAAGGACCAAAGTGAGCCTCAGGTTTTTCCCCAGATAATCCTGCATGTAGCAATTCCTGGTCCCAGCCCCAAGAAAGGGCTGGGCTAGGAGCAAGTGAGCCGAGCAACCGGAGCCTAGATGACTGACAACCTTTGACTCAGAGCGGTTCAGGTGCCTTAGCAATCTTGCCTTCTTTCCTGGATTCCCCCCTGGCTTCCTATTAACCTTGCTTCTCAATTTGGTCTCTGTCCTGGGGCCAAGTGCTGATCTTTTGTGGTGTTAAAGATGGGAGGGGCACAGTCTGTGAGATTTATTCTGTTTACTAAGACTTCGCTAAATAGACCAGACCGACTTGGGCCCTTGGGTTTCTCAAAGTTTGCCCCCTCATTAGAAAGCTCTTCATCCCCTGAGGCATATGCTGCTCCCTCAGTGAAAACCCCTGATCCACATACCTAGAAATGTAGCAAGCTAAGATAAGATTACCCAGCTGGCTCTACCTGAAAAGAGCAACTTTGAGTCTGTGTCTCAAGCTCCTTTCTCAGCCTTCCGAACAGTTTTGCCTTTTACAAGGATTGCTTTGTGTAGTATTTCAAAGCAGCCAAATACAAACAAATTATTGAGCAGGTTTATGGGAAATTCTAACCCTAACAAAGGACTCCACACTGCAAGAAGGGTGAGGCCTAGAAAGTAAACTGAAAGGACACATCTCAGCTTGACCAGGGATGAAATAATCATTATAATACTGTTTACATACTTAACACCTTTTCATCAAGAATTTAAAGAGTTTACATTCAATTTATCTGGTAGGGGATGCTGCAAGCTCAACAACATGCAACACAAATCCATGAAACCAGAAGAACCAAGCAGAGAGCCAAATTACGCATGCTATGTGTAGTTCCTTTGTTCCCTACTGACTGACAAGAATTTCCCATCTGCAATCCAATTATGCTCTCAGGAATCCAGGCAGGTAGAGCTACAAAAATCCACAAGAAAAGTAAGGAGGCTATAAGGAAAAAGCACTCATAAATTCATGTAACTTCATGTTGTGAATGACATAAGCTGTGTGTGTGTGTGTGTGTGTGTGTGTGTAAGAGAGAGAAAGAGAGAAGGAGGGAGGGAGGGAGAGGGAGGGAGAGAGAGACCAAGGGAGAGAAAGAGAGCTAAGATGAAATAGTTTTTAGCCTATCTTTGTCACAGAAGAGTGTAGCATGTAGAGTTTGTAAGCCTATTTGTAAAAGGATACGCTGAAAAGCACATGTAATTATTTCCAAGTTATCAGAGTCCCATAGGAAATAAAAGGACCCACTATGGACTGCTGCAAACAGTTGGTAACTGAGGGAATAGAAAGAGAATAGGAATCGGACATGTAGATTATGGAGATCACAATGAAGGGGCAAGTGATATGTGCAAGGAAAAACTAGTCATTTGGTACATTTGGAATTACCTGAGGCACAAAATTTCAGATAAAAACTATTTTAGGGAATATACATTTTTGTTTGAAGCTGTTTCCACACCCTGCACAGCTTTCAATGAAATTACAGATGCCTATGTGTTACTATCATTTCTTTCCATTTTTATGTGGAACTCAAGCTTGTGTGTACTGTCCTATACAGACTGTTTCTTACTCCTGTGACTTTACTCATACAATTTCTATTTCTGGAGATTCCCATCTTCCTCTTTATTTGGTTAGTTACTTACTCAACCTTTAAGTTTCTGTGAAGGTGTCATCTTCTCTGGTCCTTTCACAGTGGTTCCTCCTGTACTACCACAGACTAGACTAAGATGCTTCTCTTCTGTATTCCTATGTAACCTACATTCTTTTCATATTTCATGATATTACTTTCCTCTATGGCTCTAGATTATGAGTTCTTAGGAGGCAAGAAAGATTGCCTTGATCTTTGTATTCCAAGCATCTAGCACAGAACCTGATGCAAAGCAAGCATTCAGTAAATGTGTATGGTAATGTTTCATTTGGACAGACCATTTAATGACTGCTGTCGAAAAAAAATAAAAAGAAATGATGACTGATCAAGAATTTACCTCCAAGATCTCTTCTTGGAAATCTGCTTATTAACTAATGAAGAAAGCATGTTGTGCATTTTAACCTATTTGTTTAGATGAGTAGGTGTGAGGGATCATAAGAATCTGCTGATACTTGGAGTAACAAGGAATAAGGTTGGGGAAAGAAAATGAAGCCACTCACGTACAGTCCAAGACTAAACTATGGTTTGTAGGCAATTAAAAAAAAAGAGAGCTAACAAGGAAAGGACATATTGAAATAAGAATACAGGGTCTAAGTAACAATGTCTTGTCCTCCCACCATCCTGGTGCCTTGATGAGTAGTGTAGGGCTTTTCAGCTCATTCTGAAAAGCTTAGAATTCTTTGAATTGCAGATGAATTACATTGTTTTGTCCCCAGGAGAACTCTGCTCCTGAGAATATGAAGAGGTGTCAGGCAGTTTAGCCCCAGGGAAGTTTTGACCCAGGGAATGCTGGCCCCTGATTGTTTCCCTAGATGGTATGCTTATAATACTTTTGTTAGGTTTGCTCCCCAGCCCATCCTGTGTCTTTTGCGTTTATAAGCTACACTCTCGGCTACAAGTCTTTGGGACTGGGGTTGACCTGATCAGTCTCCCATATAACAATATGACAAGTTCTGCTTTAGTTGTGCAAAACTTCAAAATTAATATTAGTGATTCCTATTCACTGAGTTGTGCAATGCTGGACTTTCAACTCTGCACCTTTTCTTCCTTGACACACACACACCACAGCCATGAATCAGATTAGCTTTTTCTTAAAAAAAAAAAAGCCAAATGTTACTAATAGATTTAGTTAGGAATAAGTCACTAGTAACAAAGTAATCAGCTCATAACTGTGGTTTTGGTCAGAAAATAAAATAAAAATTGATCTTTATCATACTAGTATCACCTTTATGTTATTAACCATGGAAAGTCCTTTACTTTAATTCTTAGTGACAAAACAATAAGAATTTTTTACCTAAAGTTTTTTTTTCTAGCTATTTGGATGCGAAATGTCTGTTCAAATGAGAGAGTAATGAAACATGCTCACAAAGACCAGTGACATAATAAACATGAATGTATGTTTAAAATATGAATAAATCCCAGTGTTCTATAGTAAAATTAAATAGTATATTAAAATTCATATAACAAGGAATTTGCACACATAAAGGAAAGGTGAAATTGATGAAGACATTGTATTTATAAATTGATTTGTTAAATGGCAACTCCTTTGCACAACTACTTAAAGATAATAATAAGCATGGTGGCTCACACCTATAATCCTAGCTACTCAGGAGGCTGAGATCTGAGAATCTCGGTTTGAAGCCAGCCTTGACATAAAAGTCTCCAGGAAACTCTTATCTCCAATAAACTATTCAAAAAAGCCAAAAGTGGCACTATGACTCAAGTGATAGAGCACTAGCCTTGGTCACAACGAGGCTCAGGGACAGTGCCAAGGCCAGCAAAAAAAGCTGTTCATTAGACTATCAAACTCTACTTGTTTTGTAAATATTAGTGAATATTTCCAGAAATATTTATTTCTTTAGGAAATACTATCACAGGGCTGGAGGTATATCCCAGTGGTAAAGTATTTGCGTAGAATGTAGAAGGCCCTAGATTCCATCCCCATCCACACACACACACACACATACACACTCTTGTCAAACAAGGTGCTGAATCTCTAGCTATATCAATTAGTGAATGGACCGAGAACTGCATACTACTTTCCTATGGAATATAAAGGATAACATGCCAGAGAATTTTGAAAACTAAAAGACAGCTTTCCTGATAGATAATTACTGGTGTTTTCCACATGGGAAAAGTTAATCTATTTCATGTCATGATCTTTTACATTGGCTATTAGCATCCCATAGAGCTGTTGTAAGGTATACACTTTATATTGAAATATGACATGCAGGCCAAATACAATCAGATTTTTTTCTCAAACTGCATACTCCTGTAGAACTAACATAAATTCAAGAAACATTACTAGAACCCACATATCCCTCATTATATCCTCAATTCACCACTATCTTGAGTCTTAACATCATCAATTATTTTTGCCAATTTCAAGCTTTGAATAAATGGAAATGACAATATATAGACTTTTCTGTCTGAATGCAATGGACTCAACATTATGTTTTAGAGATTCTATTGTACCATGTACTTGTAATTAATCCATTGTCATTCTGTATAGTATATACATATTCCAAGTATAGTATATACATATTACAAGTAGTATACTACTAATCAAATATCAATATGACATTTACTTGGTCATTTTATTTATGAATATTTGAAAGGTTCAAATTAATTGGATGCTGCCTGTTTATCCAATGCATGTTTCCACCATCCCCACCACATAAAAATTTAAAGGCCCTGTGAAATTAAATGGCCTGTGATATGAAAAGAAAGGGAATTGGAGGGAAAGAGATTCTTGATAGTAAAAGACAAAATGCATAGGTACTGAACCAAGGGCTATATTATATGTCGTACATTTATTATAGAACTCCTTAAACTATTATAATCTTTATTTTACTAATGAAGTAACACGGGCCAAGAGAACTTAAATATCTTGCTCAAAATGAACAAAACTGGTGTCAAAAACTAGATCAGCTATTTGAGCTAAGACTTTCTAACTCTAAAGCTTATGCTCTGAAACCTCTAGATTATACTAAACTAAGGACAACATCTTTGAAAATGCTTTATCTGTACCATTCCTGATGCATATGGTTTGGCACTCCATCATTGTTAATAACAATAGAATCATTTGGCATTATTTAACCCTGCAAATCCAATAGAACACTACCCATAAATGAAATTCTGTTTAACTTCATCCTTAGTTGGGCATAAACATTTATCTCTATACCCTTCTTGAAAGAGATACAACTTACAAAAGTTGTGCCTCCTTCCTTTTTTTTTCACTTTGCCAGTTTACAAGGGCCACCTAAGTGTCTTGGCTTCAGTTGATCAATATGAGAATAATCAGGACTGGATGTTTTAGGTGAAAGCTACATTTTAGTACCTACAGCTCCTATACAAAAATATAAATAAAAATTA